GATGATTGATGAAGATGATTGATGAAGATGAACGATGATGAAGATGAATGATGAAGATGATTGATGATGAAGATGATTGATGATGAAGATGAATGATGATGAAGATGATTATTGATGAAGATGTTCAATGATTGAGATGATTGATGATGAAGATGAATGATGATGAAGATGAATGATGATGAAGATGATTAATGATGAAGATGATCAATGATTGAGATGATTGATGAGGGAGATGATTGTGATGATACTTATGCTAATTTTTGCTCCTATAGGTAAAAAGCTTACCCAGGACAAACTGATACAGCCTTACAGCACACTCAATCAATTAAACGTAGAAAACGCCCCGGTAACAAAGAGYTGTTGCTTTTCCACTAGACGAGAAACACACACATAGCTAATAGATAATAAGTTATTTCTCAGTCTCTTAAAGTCATTCAAATACTTAAAAAATAAAATAAATTATTCGTCCGTTCCGTAATTCAGCAAGAAGCTGAGAAGAAGAGATGAAAGAAGAAGAAGAAGAGATGAAAGAACGGTATTAGTTTTTAACTGAGGCTATAATAAGGCTATAATACAAAAAAGCTCTTGAGGACAATGTCTGCAAAATTTGCCTKTTGTAAATAGTATTGTCAAGGTTTGTAAATAGTTTTTAAACAATAACTCACTATGTTATATATACTCTCAACTGCCTATAGTCTAGTTTTTTCATTTTATTTTATCTTTGATTTTKATGTGAGGAAATAACAAAATAAATTGATAAATCCCGTTTTATTGTTTGCAAAGCTGGTTTTTCGTGCGCGTATAGCGCGTCACTTCCTTGCTTCGTTCATACAACACGGTTTCTGACCAATCAGATCGCGCGTATAACGAAGTGACCATACAAACCCTCGTAAAACGAGGATGGTTTATTGATATACTCTAGGAAATGATACGTGGTTTGAAATCGAAAACTATTACGCCCACGGCGGTTAGGAGGATATCCTAGCTGGTGCCGTGCACTCTCTCGAGATGCATGACGATACGCAGCTTGATAATGAGAGCTTCGCACATTGATGAATATTACGTAGATGTTATGGAAAATACCACTAAATGGTCGGCGCAGCAGAAAGGGCACCCTATAAGGGACAGAACCAGTCATGGCGTCAACTATGTCGTCCTCCCCCCACAACCACGGGATTTACCATCCAAGGAAGCAGTGCATCTTACAATAATGGGCATAGAACTACTACGCGTTGTCGTTCGAATTGCCATCCAGAAATCTATTGGACAATCCATTCCACCTATACCAGACTGTATAACACGCTATAGCTACAGTACTACCACCTCCAGGGGAGATAGAGATGGAGTAGGAGAAGAGTTATTTAACTACCATTGTTACGGAAGGTACGTTTTAAATGGAGTGTGTTGGGGGGAGGGGGCTTAAGCTTAAGAGGGGAGAGGGTCATCAGTAAGAATATATATTTTTGTAGCAGGTCAAGATTTTTTATTTGGACGAAAAATGTTTTCTTGTTGACTTCAAAAGGAGAGTCATGCATTTCCCATGCATTTTTCTTTTACTCCGACGAAGGACTAGCGTCCGAAACGTCAGTACGTTTTTTCATCTTTTCACGGTGTATAATTTACCTTTTCATCATTACTGTTTCATTAGAAACACCGACGCAGCTCACACTACTTTCTAGCTAGTTATATCTTCTGAGTAAAGGAGGTGGATGCAAAATTTTTAGGAATTTTAATGCAAATCCCCCAGAAGTCCTCCCCCAATAAAAAAAACTTGCCTTCCTTAATAAGACTTCATTTATAAACGTATTAGAATTCCCCTATTTTTCTCCCGCCCCCTAAGAATTCCCACAATGCATATTTTTTAGTCTAGTGCCAGTGTATCCGTTTAGCGCGGCAGCGTGAGGAACGCCTGTTCAAATTGTGCTTATTCCTGATTTCAGCAAAAATCGCTCAAACAGCTAAGAGATTTTTGAAAACAGGAATCATGGAACAATTGGATTTTTAACGATTATATGAACCCCTAGTGTCGTAGAAATTTCATTATGAGTTCTTATGGATCACAAGGAGACTCGATCCGGGAACTCAAAGTCTGTCTTTTAGGGGTAAAGATTAATWATTTCCTAAGTGTTCCTTATTCTATTGTTGTTCTTTCTTATTTGATTTACAGTAAGCTTGTTATATATCTATAGAATGGGAAGTTTTTAGATTATGACTGACAAATTCTGTTTTTCTTTTGTTATTTTGAAGGATGCTGGTGTAGGAAAATCTTGTCTCGTTCATAGATTTGTTTCAGATACGTTCAATGCTGCTTCTCCACCAACCATTGGGTAAGTTGACCACTAATAATTTGATTTAAGYTTATTATTTAACTATTTTATTCCGTAAATTTAACGAATTTAACTACGAGATTAACCAGCACTCAACTTTATAAGCTTTACTTGATTGTTATCAACTGTTGGTGCGAATTATATTTATCGCTGTAAATAGAAATTACAGTCAAGGTTAGTATTTCCCCAAAACTCCCATTTATTCAAATATGTTATCATCTTAGTTATATGATCTAACTTTCTTTCTTATGAAATTCTTTGCTATCTTGTTTTCAAACCTCTTTTTCATCGTTGTCTTTCAAAAAACATGCATTTCTTATTTCCTTATTACGGTTTTACAAGTAGTTAAGTTAAGCTGAAGCTTGAGAAAGATGTTGAAATAACTTACATATTTAATTTCTGTGTTATTAATAGCTTAAGYATTGTTGTTAAAATTGGCTGAAAAGCTCTTGGGTTCTTCAGCAAACCTATTGTATATATATTCTTTGTTACTGTAGCTTCATTCTATTGTATTACTTCCAAGCATTATAGTACATTTAAGAAGAACAAAACTATTTGTATTAGCTCCAGCTTGGCAAAATGTTTCTTCATTATTTCCTACCACATTATTTCCTGGAGTAAGATGGTTTTTTATGTTCTTTGTCAGTGACAATAAGCTTATTCTATTCCATATACATTGATCTGAAATGGGAAAGCATTATTTTATGCACAAGTTTATGGATAAATATTATATATGGCTTTCAGTTTTCTATTTCAATCAGAAATGCTGAAAAGATACATTATATTATGTGAATAATTTTTAAAAAATATTTACAACATATTTCCTTTTGTGGGAAAACCTCATCTCTTTATTTATAAAGTAAATAAATAAAATTGTTTTTTAAGTAATGTTTAATAAACGAGCAGGAGTGTTTTATCGGGTATAAAACACGAGAACTAATAACACTAAATATTATTATTTATTAATAATTGTTATTAATATTTATATTACAATATTCCAGGGCAGCGTTTATGACCAAGATGATGATAATTGATGAAAATGCATTCAAATTTAATATTTGGGATACTGCAGGACAAGAAAGGGTATCTATACTGTATAATATATATCAATAATAATGATAATGATAATAATAATAATAATAATACCTCTTGCCAATTGCTAGCCCTTGCTGTCACCTTGCGGCGTTGTCGGCACCTACCCTCCATATTGAAAAGCGACAAGTTAATAATAATAATAATATTAATAATAGTAATAAAGATGTTCTTATATAGAGCAGCCTCATACGATCTCGGCGCACTTTACAAGAAATAGAAACAAAGGAAATTAAATAGACAGAAAAACAGAAACAAACAATTAAAATTGAAAAAATATATATATATATATATGTTATTTACTGGCCAGGAGGTCTGGATAGGGAAAAACTGTGCCCAAAGTCTTGAATATACATACTGAGGCTGATAGGCCGAGGTCTGCTTTCAAGACCGAGGGCACAGTTTTTCCCTATCTGAACCAACTATAGGATCGTAAATAACTTATTTATTTTTTGTTGTTTAGCGGCAAAGGATACCGCCCGCTCAAACAGCCAATCAGAATGCACAATTTTTTAGGATACCAGACCAGAAAAAAAAGATTATATATATATTATATAGACCTTTCATTTTTTTTCCAAAAATGGTTTATTTCCTCTCATTTACCTTTCCACTTGTCTTCCAATTTTTGTTTTGTTATTTAGCATTCCATTATTTTCATGTACGCACTTGAATGACATAAGCATTACATCAGGATACCAGACCACAGGCAGAGATAGAAAATACCACCTCTCGCGCAGACAATCAGAACCCACAATTTTTAGTATACCAGACTGGAGAAAAATATAAAAAATTTACTTCTAAAATAGTTGATACATACGATTACATACTATTAGTTTATCTTGTTTTAATTCTATTGTTACATTAACGGCGACAATTTGTTTGTTATATTTTCAGTTTAAAAGTCTTGCTCCTCTGTATTACCGAGATGCGGCAGCTGCTATCCTGGTTTATGACATTACTTCTGATGTAYGTTAAGGTCTTCTTTTTTTGTCATTTATTCTTTTGCTCTTTTTAAAGACCACTTTACCTTGGGAGTGAAGTTTTCCCATTTCAGGCCACATGTCATTCCCTAGAGTATTATTTCTTTGTTTAACAGTTACACAGGATCCGACAAGACTCATGAATATAGATACAACTCAAAAAGAGAATCTTATTTTCAAGAGAGTGACATGTTTAGTAAGAAAACTAGTCGTAAAAGACAA